GTGTGTGTGCGTGTGCGTGTGTGTGCGTGTGCGTGTGCGTGTGCGTATGTGTGTGTGTGCGTGTGCGTGTGTGTGTGTGAGTGTGTATGTGTGTGTGTGAGTGTGTATGTGTGTGTGTGCGTGAGCGTGTGTTTGTATGCACTGTACGTACAAACAATACACACACAGTTATTTTCTGTCGGCGTGTACGCATGTCTGCAAAGAGAACGCATATTCATATCTCACGTACACAAATATGCACATGTGTACGTGAGCGTTTGCACGTAAGCGCCGTAGAAGCACATACGAACGAGCCAATGGCTTCGGCAGAGGCGAGCGGGTACGTGGCGCGAGGGACCACAACGAGAAGTCCGTCTGTCAGCTGAAGGAACATATAACCGTGTTGAACTTGTCACGGAGGTTTAATTCGGACTTCGATCATTAATGTAAATAATCCGAACACGCGATACTCAATCTAATATCTAATGACACGGACGACAACGCGTAATGGCATTGCTTTAAGGGTATGTGTGCATTGTCGATGTACTCATTTGTTATCAAGGAATAAGATTATCTTCACGGTGCAGTGTTCCTTCTAATAACTATAGGGAAAAATGGTGGAAATAATGATAATGGAATTATGAAGAAACGTGTTGGATATTATGTATTTGCTTTATATTTTCCCGTATTTCCTAGAGATGGAGGCATGGCTATGGGGAAATACATCAGTTACTCGGTTTCAAATTACATATTGGGAAACTGTCCATGAACACACCCTCTACTTTGTTTACTTGACCTGAGAAAAGAGTTAACCTTTGACCTGTCTGCGACCCTTATCTTCAGTGCGCAAACACAAAGCCGGGTTGTAGAGTACATTTTAGTTCTCATTGATATATGTGGACGTTATATCTGAAAAAAATAGAATTTGAGACAAGGGGCGAGGAATGGCGTAAGACCAAAAAACTTTAAGGCACCACAACAACATCTACTACTGCTATTCATGCTACTCCTCCTCCTCCTATTCTTCTTCCTCCTCTTCTTCTCCTCCTCCTTCTCCTACTACTACTACTAACTATTACTACTACTACTATTATTTATTATTACTACTACTACTACTACTTCTGCTACTACTGTTACTATTACTTCTACTACTACTTCTACTTTTACTACTACTCTTATTACTACTCTTACTACTACTCTTACTACAACTGCTACTATTACTACTAGTACTGCTGCTGCTGCTACTATTACAACAACTACTACTACTACTACTACTACTGCTACTAATACTACTACTGCTGCTACTAATACTACTTCTTCCACTACTACTACTACTACTACTACTACTACTACTACTACTACTACTACTACTACTACTACTACTACTACTACTACTACTACTACTAGTGCTGCTGCTACTGCTGCTACTGGTGCTACTACTACTTCTGCTACTACTATTACTACAAGTACTATTTTTAGCGATGCCAATAATGCTTCAGAAATGAGCCTCTCGAATCGCTTAAACGGATATAGGCATTC